CATATACATACGTGTCTTGTTAGCGAATACAAATTGCATGCATGCATAAGTTATTTCGAACGTTCTTGAAACTTCAACATGTGCGTATGTACCTACATATTTATTGCATTAGAAAGTCTCTGGAATTAATTCGCCATCTTTTTTCATTTCTTGCAGAACGTTTTCGTTGAGAGGAAATTGACGTTCATTTTGGACGATTTGTCGCGACCGTGAAACGCAACCTCTGCTGGTTGCAGTAAGCAGTTTATATCATTGTCGAGATGATTTTTCTGCCGGTTGATACCTACCATCGTGGATGCGTAGTCATTCATTAGATTAACAGGACGAAAGGAATGACGCACAGTTGTTTGTTAACTATCTCTTGTCGTCCTTCTGAAACCTCTAGAGCAAAATCATTTGGTCCAAAATGCAACGGTGAACTATGGAATAGCAATAAAAATATCTTCTCAAGAGGAAAAAATTGAGCAGAGTAATAGGACAAGAGCATGGAAATAACTGAAGCGAAACACCTAAAGCAGGATGAATTACATGAAGGAACGAATGAACAAAAAGTGCTGCACTCTTGATGAGAATTCGAAGGGACATAGTTCAAGTGAAGTGTAAATGCAACAAGACGTCGTCAGTCAATGAAGTTTACGGTCAATTCGTGCGCCATCACGATGCTTCCAATGGAGACATGCAAAATACTCCATAAATATTGCGTTCTGAAATGAACGCGATTCTCGTCAGCGATGAGATGTCGTCAGTTGCATTAGTGACAGCTGATTAGAAATAGATCCAGCTTCTGATGTTGTGCTGTTGTTGTTGTTTCGTAATATGTTCTGGTAATCATGCTCATCAACATGCACTAAATGTCCAGCACTAATTCTATGCTTATTATCATCACTCAAGCCGTTACCATCACAGGCAAATAGAGTGAGTTGATGAATTAGTTGACTGCATCAAACAAATTAGTAGAGCTCAGCAAATGCGACGATAAGCTTTTTCATCGTTTTCAACAATTCGTTACAAACCCGAAAAAGATAACGATGAGAAGTCGCGCTGGATACGTGTGGAGCGCTCGCGTTTTTTGTTCAAAAATTTTTTCGAATGATCTTTTATCAGTCATAGCAAAATCGCATGATTTCTCATTAACATTATCGCTATTGTGTACAACTCTTATTACTTACAATGGATTTTGTGAAATGTGCATCCGCAAGACACATAAATTAGAGAGTCATGTGAAATTATCATTGATTATAAAGAACACAATGAAATCGAAGAAGTTTTACAACACCAAAGAGGAGTATCGCATCAAAACAATCAGGAAGCATCACATAATTACACGATAAGTTTCAACCTTACATTCAAAAAGTAATCCACTGCGATCGAGTAAACTGGTAAAACTGTGATGCAAAGGAAATGTTATCTCGAAAAACTAATTAAAAAGGAGACGAAACCATCGAATATGCATGAACGTTGATGTATTGACAACATAGAGTGTTATTGGGCAATATTATCAGAATTTATAAGCAAACACTTATAAACTATGCTGCATTTAAGCGATTCTCATTCACTTAATTAACGCGCACGATCCTCGCGGCATCACAGCCAGTCCACATTCCCCGTTCTAGGCTGACAATTAGGCATACACAGAATAAACTCGTTCACGACACTTTTGATTAAGCTACCTGGTGACCCACTAAACCCAATTTAGGTTGATGATAATGTAAAACTTACGAGTCTGGGCATGTACCATATGGATGTTAATTACAGTCTGTATGACAGTTTTAATGAAGAAAATAAATGAATATTAATGAATGACTGCATGAATTCAATATGCAAAATGAGCACGAGTGAGGATCATGGATGTAAATTAAGTGAATGAGAATTGCTTAAATGCAAATAGTTGATTAGCGTTTGCGTAGCAATTTTTATCCATCATCTGTGAGCCGTTTATTCATTTATCAATGCAACAATCCAAGAGATATGCAACGATAAATGATGGATTACTGCACTGAATTTGCGCTGGAATAATGTTCTCGTCAAAACCTCATCATAACTTCTTTTTTCGTTCTCTTACCGTGCCTTTAAGATATGAGCATAACCTTAATCGTAATCATACACTTTCGTATAAAACTTCACGTTATAGCGATCATTGTATACACCAGCATCACCCAAAATATTTTTACTTTCAGCGACCAGACAATCGGCAAACCCACTTACTCACCAATTGAAGCGAATTCTCATCGCGAGCGCCATGAAGAACTTGATCTAAACAGAACTAAGCCACAACAAACCACTCATTCACTGTCTATTATTATTATTTATTCAGTTTCAATTTATTTCTCTACGATTATCCAGCATTATCCTTCTCAACGTCATTTCACTTCCTCGTGCAGACATTCGTTGTGGCTTGTCAAAAAATTTATTCATCAACATTTCATAAGTGCAATCACACGCAAACACAACTTTTATAGTTTATGTTGCATTCCCTCAATACGAAATTGGTTCACATCAATCAAGCAATTCATATTGCAGCGTTTGCATGTTTTGTTCGCGTCTGCAATGGAACTGTGCAAGAAGAGTGGTAATGGTCATTCGGGCGTATTGGTGGAACAAGCTGGTTACATTTCATCGAGATATTGTCTTATTTATGCACTGAAATGACGAAAAGAAATTCGAAAAGTCGTTAAGCTAGCATATTCTCGAAGTACTAATGGGACACACAACTGAACGTATGTGATCGTTTGAATTAATGAGTACCATTTTTAATTTCGATCAAATTTCTGACAAGCGCATATTGATCGCAACTAAAAAAATTTTTTGCTAAATACATTACGAATTTTCAAGTATTCAATATCGAAGTGCTGCTCAATTTCCATATTTGCAGTTGATTTGCTCAAAATGATAACCTTAAACTGGGGAATTAATTGTAACCGTTCAATCATATTCAACGATTCGAAAATACTTAATGCAATAAATAAATCTTTTCAGTTCGCATAATGTAGGAGAATTGATCATCCTGTAGTCCGATGCCTTCTCGTGTAATTATACAACCAGTTGCAACACAATGGTACCTAAATTAATTATCACTCACGCTAGAACATTCATTATTGCACTCATCGAATATGACCGTATCAGACTGAATTATTCCGTTATTTTGGCCGCACTTTGAAATATCTAATCATTTGAAAAATATCACTCCCTGGACTATCGAGATTTTCGATCAATTCAGATTAATGAGCATTTGCGATTCAGTCGTTCTCGCATCGAATTTGCTGAAGTGCGCCTTTTTTCTCGTACACTTACATCAACGAAATATGATCGATGACAAAAACACTGCATCCATTTAGTTGATGAATTCCTTATAATAGCACATCCAAGAACTCTACTTTTCAGCATGACTTTCATCAACATGATTATCATTTATTATAAGCTTTCACTATGCAAAAAACTATCATCAAGATTCATTTCTTGAAAAGGNGAAACTAAAAATTTGGAATGTGCATTTTGCAAAAGAAGACTGATTATGAGTATCAATTAAATTGAGTATTCTTCAGAAACTTACGATTAATTATGCTAATATACTAACTCTTCGAATGAAGATATAAAATGAATGCGTATTCTCAGTGCTAATTTCAACGCCACCATCCATGTTGAATTCGATAATTCATGCAGAAACTTTTACAAACGAAGCAACAAATCTGGCTCGCCAGCATAGTATGAAACCGAAGTGTGCAAAAATGAAAAGTAGCAAAAAGTTCAGATATAAGATACAATCAATTTGTGAAAATGTATGAATATGGACGAGCGCAAACTGCATGAGGATATGTAGAATGCAAACGATTACGGAATCTCGAATCTGTTTCAGTGAACAAGTGGAACGAGAATCACAGTCTATTCATAACCGTACTGACTGAATGTTCTCATGGGCTGAGAAAGAGATCAAATTAGAGTAGTGAATTACTGATATGGAATGATAGCACCGTGACATCTGCTTACGGTCCTCGTGAGCATCAGAGAGCATGAAAATGGATCTACTTATCGCCTTCTACACATTATTTTGGTCTTGTAACTGTTAAGGTAATTTGAATATTTAGGAATGGATCAATGAAATTTCGATAAAACTGCGCGCATAGCTTATGCTAACATTCATAATTCGTTATCGTCTGCTCAAAAGGTGGTTGTTTAAGGTAGAGCTGTTTATAATTCGCATGTTGTGTGCTATTGGTTTCCAGCTCGTTTAGCCTCATAAAATTTGGCGCAGTGGTATTCGGCATAATGGACATTTGGACCACTGGATTTCCGAAAGTATTAGCCCCAGGCATTTAGTGCTATCCGAATCCACTGACCTTACTTTCGTAAGCAAAAGCGCAATGATACAATTCCGGTTACATCCAGACATGAAAGCATCTGATTTCGCTAGCGTCATAAGAAAACATGCAGTTGTTGTTCATTCGTGAAGCCAAGAAAAATACCTAGATTGAGAGGATGAATATGTTATTGAAAAGATACGAAATAAACTGGTTCGAGAACCCTCGAAGGTGTTGTTTAAGGACTCGGGAAACCCATGATGCGCATGGATGATAATCTTGAGTGCTCTTGGAGGCCTAACATCCACTCCCGGCTATTCCGTCATCTCCATGTCCACCAAATGTCCATTAGGCGAAATGTCCGGTGGCGGTGCTACTGAGAATCGCTCAAAATCTTCATCGAACACTAGAGTGAAGTCAAAAAAGCGCAATGATACGACTCTGGTTTGATCCAGACATGAAAATTTTGCTATCATCACAAGAAAACATGCAATTTCATTCTTCTGGCGTATAATTTAAAATGTTTGCTATGGAAACAAATCATTCATCATATCATTGATCGATTCAGCTTGATATGGCCAAACACAACCATGTTAACAGTACGCCATCCATCAAGGAAACATCTTCGGCGCTGTTAAATTCGTCAACAACGAATACCTCATTCGAAACAGTCGAACGCAACATTCGACGTCTTCATATCGCACATGATAATATTTCAGGTGATGTTTCATCACTGCTCGTTGGTGACTTACTTAATATTGAGCGAAACATCGAGCATTCGTTTAGTGGGCGCTGCTGAGAACTCATTGTGAGGACATAATGACCATCAATGAAAACTTATGACGAGTAGTATGTCTCACTTTATGAGCCGATAACAGACACTTTATTGAATCGTAGGCGATCGTACGACAGACTTGTTGGATGCGAGTAAACAAAATTGTTCGAACAACTCTATCATTGAACAAACGCAGACGTTTGGATTGCGTATTAATAATCATGAATAATCCTCTCCATAATGATAGTGTTATATTAATACCTCAGATACTAGATAAACACCAAACACTCAATTTTCATTTAAACGGTTGCAGACGACCATCATCCTTCTGACATCATCGAGCAAGTCTTGAAAAAAAATCCCTCAGCTTCAATTCCAATCAATCATCAACATGTCACTGATAGAGTAAGAAATGTTTTCGATGAATTAGCACTTCAAACGTTTGAAAATGAGAATGAAATTTACTTACTCGTGGATTCTAGAGAAGTTAATCAAGAAATATTTGTCATGAATTCTGATTCCATATGGCATGAATCGTGTAGTACCGCAAGAGAATTCTTCAAATTTTCGACAATAAATTCTAAATCTTTTCCCCACTAAAGACGTGTCTATCACCCTTTGATCTTCTGTTTCCAATCAATTAGACGGCTCACAGTGTGGAAGTATGGTGAAAATGATAATCAGAGAAGTTGCCCGTGGAACACTTCTCAATAATATTGCCTTTGATTAGCTTCGAGCGTACCACTGTCGATGCTTAACACTAACACTTATTGAGTTCTAATGCTGCCTTCACGCTTGTGCTTTAATCAGTTTCAATTCAGAGTGACTTGATGCAGGTTGTTTGAAGTTGAAATGAATGAAACAATGATTGGCAAATAGTTTAACTTGTTGAAAAAAGAATGAAAATTGTCAGCAGGATTCATTGTCAAAGCAAAATGGCAGCAAAAGGCCTGAAACAGTTGGTGCAGCATTCGCGAAGAAAACAATCGCCAACGATCATTTGGACCAATCTCTTCAGTTAGTCGAAATTTGTCGGGGCGTTGGGATCTGACCGATGGCGTAAGTCATTGAATGAAAGCGTTTGGATAATTCAACAACTGAATAAAGTGGTGTGCTGTGGGGATCCGAAATTTTATGGATCGTCGTCTTCATCGCTCTTCCTCAATTTTTTCACTGTTACCCCAACACGCGATGTTAGAGCTCAATATCACGAGATTTTATTAGCGGTTTGAAAGTGATTATGTTGAACAGCTGATGGATTATTCCTTATAATTTCAGCCACATAAAATGCTTGACGAGCTGTTTTTCAATACAAGACATAAGGTTGCTGGTGAGCTCAAATACATTTGACTATATGAAACTATAGCTGTTGATCTGCTTGTGCGATTGAGCTTTAGGGAATCGCCGTCGTTGAGAAATGAAGATAGATCATCGGTATCAACATCATCGACAACATCATCATCATCGTTCATGTACGATGCACGCATGTTGAGAAGTTATTATATTGGTGCAACCACGTCGAAATTGGCCGAAAACTTCGTTCACGAACCGACGAGTTTCCGTTTATACCACGCGATCGGTGAAAGCGTTGAGGAATCTGTTACGAAAATGGGAAATGGGCTGAGTGAAGCGATATCGCCGCAAATCCACTTGCATATTGTCTACAAAACAAGCAATGGAAACTTTTGGTATTCATTTGCATAACATTTATTCATTTAGTATTCTGATTTAATGATTTCATAGAATCTTCTTATTTACCTTCATACCGTTTATGTCGTTCGGGTACTTCATTACCACTTTTGACGATCTGGCAGGCTGCCGTTACTCCCCACCCCTTACTATTTCTACTGATGGATTTTTGGATGATTTTTCTTTTCAGACGTGCTGTATTTACTCTCATAGCTATTACATGCGAATATCGTTCTCTTGATGAGTTTTTCTCATTCACTTCGTCTCATTTCACTTCACAGTTCGAATCAGTTTCTTATTCTACAGAATAAGAAGCTGATGTACTATTTACTGGAAGTGTGTTGACAGCCGAAATCAATAATACAGCAGTCGAATATTACTGCTTACCAACGTTCGACAGTCAAATGATCGGTTGGAGAATGTATTGAATGAGAAATTGAATAGCCAAAAAGAACACTTTTGGTGAGAGTGATTGTAGCATCAACGAAAAGAACGAAAACTCTGTTAAAACAAATGAAAACCCTGTTATGCTCGGACGAGCTAATGATACTTAGAAAATAGGAGAACGGATAGTGGTGCCATCAACAAACCGCATTTACATAACCGAATTAAACATACTTCCTTACCTCTCCACACCTCCAAATTACCCAAATCGTTAATTTTACCTCTATGATAACCACTGGACTATTCACACCAAATGAATGCGTATCTCATCTGATGATTTTCTGCACCAAATTGTTGCATTCTGTCCCATTCAATCCTATCCTTCATCCATAATCAGATCGAAGCGATAGAAATTGAGCATCTCTACCCAACTTACTCCAATCGCGATGAATAAGTAGTCAATGAATAGGTGTTCAAAAAGAGATGGATTCTGTAAGACGGTCTTGTGCAAGTTACCACCTAATTTCAATTAATGCCATTCGACGCTTACAACTTCGGAGTGACTGTCACAAACTAGAAAACACGATCATAAATAAACGCGTATGTCTGACAGATCATGTTCCTTCAAACTTCGCAGATTCACAGAGAAGATGCACCAATTGTATGCGTAACCATTTCAGTCACTACAAGGTAATTGATACATCCATACCAGATTCATCCGAGAGAATGTTCACAGTTGATTACGGCGACAAGAACGCACCTCGATTCATAAGCCTCAACTCACTTGTTCGATATTACAGGTAATCGCTAGCAATTAGCAGTAAATAGAGTGATACATATCGATATTTACATGTTGCCACCTCATAAAAGTATGCCATTTAGACCAGAAAGGCACACTACGTTGCCGCACCTGAGACAACATAAAAAGCGTGGCTTTTCAGCTCAATTTTTTTAAGATGAACTCTTACATAGGTTGTTCGCAGTTAAAAATACACGATTTTGGAGGATGAAACCAAAAAAAAAATTCGGAAGTCGAAACTCGTGCATTATTATTCTTCAGGCGAAAGAAATTTGACATGGCGAACGTCTCAAATTGATTTTTCAAAGCGGCCTACCCTAAAGATTGTTTTTGGAACAAAAGGCAAATCCCCTGAGCTGGTACCTGCACATCTCAGAGTCTCATTTTTTCGGTAGAAAAATACGTTACCGCACTGATAATCCTAAAAATCTTAACAGAACCAACTAAACAAAAACATTCGAATCATTTTTTTAATGGCGAAATGGGCAATCGTAAAATTATGATTGATTATCAATTTCATCGAACGGCATTTAATTATGTCAAGATCAATATGCCTTCAATTGCAACAATCAGAAATATTTCGTTGCAGTTTATATGTGTCATTGCATTCTGATAACGACCACGATATCACTCAAGCTGATATGTTTCCGACCAGTGCTCAAGATGCCATTCCAGATCAAGAATGCTTGCAATGATCGAATTCCAACATTATCCGTTGCAACTCCAAAATTGCAATAAATTAACACCCGCAATTCGTCGATCTTTCCTTAGAAATTTGAACTTTGAGATAATTCGAAAGCATCGAAGGGAATTAATGGAAGTATCAGTTATAAACCTTTTAATCCTCTTGTATGCATTTTAACGATCATCATTGCTTGTTATATAAATCTTACATTGTTTTACCCGAATACATTCATCTTAAATTTACATGTCTTCTTAAAAGTAAAAATTCCTATGCATTGCTTCTCAACAAAATTTTTACACGTCAGTTCATCATGAAATGGGTTATTGCTGTTTCGTTGCCTTGTAAAATATCATTGGTAACAAGATAATGTATGAACACAACAATAAATAAAGCTCATGCAAGCTCGCTCAAATGTCAGCTTAGCAGTCAAACATTAAATATTCTAGCTTTTTGAGTGCAAACCTAATAAATTTCCCGGGAAAATTCGTTCGCTGATCAGTTGTATCATTTCGTTTTTTACTGATGTTTGTTTGATGTTCCTGCTGTCCTCTGAATGATAAATTACTCAGCAACAAATAAGTCGTTTGATAGAACTATGAACCATTTGATCTCATAGATTTTTTTTTGAGATGAGATTAATGATTCGTCTTTTGGTTGTCTAACGTTATGGCAGTTGTGTGAATTTGTGGAGGGAAGAATGAAAATATCAGTCAGGATATTTTCATTGTCAAGTCGGGATATCTTGACAGTATTGTCAACACGTGTCAAATCATCGGGATTTGATTGAAAATGCATGCAATTGTCCTAACGCTTGAAAATTTTTGCAGTTATTCTTGATGTTCCTAGGCGTTCTGTTCTGAGGATCGTAATTCTGGGCATATTTGTGTAGTGATTGGAAATAATGCTGAAAAAAAATGATCGATAATATGGTTATATCAATCAAGCATCAAACATTTGTTGCGAACAAGAAGAAAGATCTTCTTAAACATGTCTCTTTCTTGAATTGGTTGCGTCGTTTCTCCATTTTATTGATGTCTTTTCGATGACAGTGATGTTCCACGTATTGGAAGATTAATCGACAAGAATTCTGTACCACTTTTAATTACTCATATGAATTATTGCCTCAGCGATATATCACGATTTCATTCACCACTAAAATCATCGTTCTGCATTTATCCGTTGTTCATCGTTCAACCTTCAATCACCGTTCAACCCAGAATTAGAACCTTTCATATTTTCACAATTTTTAATTAATAATACATCTGTGACCTTTTATTGGATCACTTATTCAAATAAATGAATCAGATGCGATTCGATTTTTTAATCTACCATTCATCCACGGTTAATGTTTGTGAGGAGGAACTGTGCTCCTGCCTCATAATTTGATCTCAATTTTTGCTTTCGTCTTCATTTGGACGACTTCAGTGCTTAAAACGAGCTTATCCGCGAACCTCATCTTGCTGTTTTACTTGTTATCGAGTTTTGTAATTATCACTCATATAAGTTCTTGGCAAGTCGGTACCTTGCTGACTCTACATTTGAAACCTTACCAGGCCTTCCAATACTCCATGGTGATCACATCATATCTCATCTTGATAAAAACTGAATAAACTGATGTCCCGCTGAAACCATTGCATCTGAAATGATGTCTCAACGAGTTTTATAAGAGGATGCAGTCGTTGACGAACAGAACAAAGGTTCACAAGTATTTAGTAGAACCGTGCTTCGTGCTTCATGACTTGATTTGATCCATGCTTAGATACTGCTTCTTCAGAAGTGAGCATTTGCTAGAAGACGTCACGGAGTGCTAGAATATCAGGCACTTCTCTTGCATCTCTACAATTTCCATGCCATAACTGCAGTACACACAAAGCATTTGTTAATTAAGAATTAGTCACTGAATCCGCAAAGGGGATTTGAAACTCGTAAAATGGACGTAACTTTTGACAGAAATAGTTAAAATGCTGTAAATGTTGATAAATGTGTGCTCATAAAGGAAGGAGCTGAGATGCGTGATGGAGTGATCAGCGAATGCATCAGTGTTCTCGAAAAACGATCATCCACTGCACTCAATCAATCAAAATTGACACAGGACGATTATTTTCAGGACGAAACTGAACTGCGTAACGGATTGAAACACGTCATAATATGATGCTGAGTTTGGGAATTATCACGTTTTGTGAGTAATTATTTGCGATTTTGTTTGAATTTTTCAATTACTTTTGAAAAAATTTACTTATCAATTTGACGGAATGGCGCATAAACGCAGGGAATTTTTCAGTGTAATGTTGATGTTTGAGTTGCGGATAGTATTCACTCAGAAACAAATCACTACGGAAAACTATGCAAAAAATTTCGAAAAATTTCGTTAATTCCGATAATTCTGTTAGTCAAAAGTCAAAGAATTTTTTTGCATATAATTTCTGTGTGCTTTTCTAAAATTTTTATGGCGGTGAATTTGGTTTATTCGTAAAGTACTAACCTCCTACTACATCGTTAAATACCAACCTTTTACTGCAACAAATTTATTCGAAAGAGAAAAGATACGTGAACAGAACCATTTAACAGAATCAGGAAAGTTGCGGACTCGTCACGCGGAATTATACTGCGCTACTGTTGAGAGAGTCATTTTAGGCGCTATTGACTGTCGTTTGTCAGATTCTTTGGCGAATCGGAATCGTTTTCTGAGTCAATTCCGAATGCGCAATTCGTTTTTTTATTCCATACGGCTATTCAGCACTGTATTGCACTATGAAACATCTTAGTTGCAATAGTGTTTTAGTTTAGAAGAACAGTTTCGGAATTGGTTTTTGTTGAATAGATATTTTCATCGAATTCGAATCAGATGCCTAAAACAATCACAAATTTGAAATTGTTAGCTTTCGTTCGGTTGTTCGCTCTTGAGATATTCTCACATTCTATGCGATGATGTGATAATATTGTAGTCTGATAAATATCGCTGAGATTACAGTAATTCAATGAGCGGCAGTAGAAAGGGGAGAATTTGGATTCAGCGCAGGAAACTGCATCAGAATCGCCAAAAAATTTGACCAGCAACAACTGATCATAACTCTGTTATGAAGCATACTTTCTTCAGGTTTACTTGCCGAAGGTGTTTGCGAATTGAAATATACGCGTGAAACAATGCCAGGAGCGGAGTATTATGATGGCAAAAAGCTGAATGTCCCTGTGAGCCACAAAACGGGTAAGGCAATTGTTGAAAGATGGGCTAGGCAAAGTATCAGCACTATTCTTTCGTCGATTGCAAATGAACGGTTAGTATTTATTTCACAGTGATTGTCGTCTCACTTGCGTATCTCATCAGGCCCCATTAGAAGTCCATCAGTTTCGTAGCTGATTTAACGTACTCACCTGAATCCATTACGAAAACGATACAAATAAAGTTGATTTGTTCAGAAGTGAGCATTTGAATGAATTTCATCGCAATCAATTATTCAAATGCAGTAATCGTGCTGAGAATCTACAAGAACATGCGAAATGTGTCGTTGATGCTATTGATGCAAAATCTCAGCAAACAACTTCATCCAATCTTATTGGTTTGCAAATTTTTGCTCATTGTCAGTCTCATTAAAATTCACATTACTCGCTCCGATCACCGTTTCAGCGATTTCACGCCATTCCATCTCACACAATGCCTACTACACTTTTGATGCTATTGTCACTGAATGTGATAACATTTCATGCTGGTTAAAAAACTTTGTTTTTCAGCAAGACGACTGAACAAGTTAAACAAATTGAAAAGTAAATCATGGAAAGCTAGTGTTCTTGGAAGTTTCTTGGACACGTACAGCAGTGAGGATGACAGTGAAAATGCGGTAACCGATCAGGATCAGAGAAGACAAGGAAGAATCAAACGCAATGTCAGGAAAAGAACCAAATACAGTCTGATTTCTGAGCGAGATCAACTGTCATCGCTTGGTATCGTCGGGAAATTCTTCTCGCGAGCGGCCAAATTACTGAAAAACAAAGATGCTGATCAGTCGTAAGTGATCATTCGTCAATATTCTCGCGCGATGTGACGTAATCTCATCAGTCATTTGCAGGAGACGCTAACTGTAAGTGACTGTTAAAAGCCTTTAGAGATGAACATAATTTTAAAACTGGCATCGTTTAGCGACATGAATCATTGCATGAAATCAGCAGCAGCAGCGAGCAAGCACAGAGTTAGCAACTTTAAGCTCTTTTTGAATCGTTTAGGTGGGGAACGCTGACCTCAGAGGTGGAAGGAATTCAACGAAATTATAAAGCAACAAACATATTCGAAAGAACTTTGCTGGACAGGTTTGAAAGTATTGGTAAACTTTCGACGCAACTAATGAAGAGGAAGAATGCTAAGGTATTATTTATCAAAGCGTAAATCGAAGTTTTGTAAAATTATAGAATGAATTAAAGGTGACCTTCAGACATAAAGGAACTTAAGATATTTATATTGATGATTATTTATACTTGTAACTGTAAATTATTTATATTTCACTGAGTCCATCGCCAAATAAATACTTTCCGCGCAGAAAAAACGTAAGGAAACTCTCCAAAAGTTGGGCATACCCGAAGACGCGTTCGATGTTAGTGCCAGTCACGAGAAGGATAACCAAGAAAGAGTTCAAGCCGTTCGTTTACTGCGTGAAGCGATCAAGCTAGCAATGGTCGTATCAGGACACAACTATAGCACCATCCGAAATAAAACTCTCCGAGTCGGCTCGCCACGTTTCCTGTCCATTGTCCCGGAAGAAGCGAACGATACGGTAATCAAACTTGTCGATCTCTCATTAGATATCAGTTTGTTTAAACAGCGAGTGCATATTGAGTGTCAATTGTAACGATGACAACAATGTGCGATGACAAATGCGGATGATTAAGCGGTAGTCATGAGACAAACGTGATGGGGAATGACCGTCATTTGCAGTTATCATTCTTCTCGCCATCACTGTTCAGTTTACATGATCAAGGAAAGGCATCCGAAGCGCTACTGAGTATACCGTCAGTGGTGAGAGCGTTTGACAAAGACTACGAAGAGTGGATGAATTTTGTACTCGAAACGTCTGGTGTTTTCGATATCATCAAGCTCATCAAGGTCTGTACATCCTGAATGGGTGTCGACGCCATTCTGCTTGACTATTCCCTTTGATCAACGAAATCATTGTATCAGTTGCTGATGTCATAACGACATCATTAAAACAATTTGATATGATCACAAGCACGATCAATTCAATGACACAACAATTCTACCGAATAACTGATGCTAAATTAGGAAAAGGGATTGGGCAAAATTCGTCTTCACTTGGAGAATCTGCCTCGAGGGATTGATGATCAACCGATGTATTTCACCAAAGAAAATTTAACGGAAATGTTCGGCAATGAATCCAGGAGAAAAGCGGAGTTTTTCGAATCATTATCCAAAGATCTCACTAGGCAACAGGTTCGCATCATTCAATTTTTCTCAACACAAACATTATATGAATATTCAAATTTGCAAAATCTTGCTTTTACGAATGAATGGAATTGAAAACTGATTAGGAATAAGACGGTTATAATTGTTCGCAATGTTTTATCCAAATTTTACAAAAGTAGTTCAGACTGATGATTCAAACATAAATTCTGAATCATTTTACGTGAGCATTGTCATTTGTTACACAGATGTGATGCTGCTTGTAATGAAGTGATAATTTCAGTTGAAGGACTTCAAACGAAAAGGTTTTTCTATTCTAACTAAAGATCAACTAAACACGGTTTACGGTGAAAGTTCACCATTTAGCGATCCATCCTCGTTGAAGAAATTCTCGTCGATGTCCCATGAAGAAGTTCATCAACGTCTGCTTTCTGATCTACGCAAACTGGCTAAGCCAGTAAACACCGAGGGTGTATTAAGTCGTCGTAAACGACAGGTGATTCAACCTGTCAGGATTCTATCACCAATCCTATTCGCGGAAGAGTATAATAAGTATGGTGCAGGTCTCATCCTCTCACCGGTTCTTTTCACAAGTATATTTTTCAGTCCAACAATACTTGGTCCTTACATTCTCAGTCCATACATGTTTATTCCAACCGTGTTTTCACCTCGCGTACTCTCACCCGTAATCGTTTCTCCGAGTGGCTTTGCGCCATTCGTCCTATCTTCACTCGTAATGCGTCCAACAATTATGTCGCCTCAAGTCCTCAATCCTGTAATCTTGTGCCCGTTAGTACTCACTCCGTTTATCATGTCTCCCACGGTCTTATCACCTCTCATTTTAACTCCTTTCGCGCTATGTCCTGTTGTTCTACGACCAACAGCTTTGCGTATTATCCTGTTAAGTCCTTATGTGTTGTCGCCGGCTTGGCGATCACCATCATACCTGGTAATGGTGTTGTTATCACCAAGAGCTTTCTCACCTGCGCTCAACTCAACTGGTACTGCATCTTCAGTCATCCTGTCGCCATCGGCGTTCAGCTGACCAAAATCCTCTTTTACTGATTGATGATTGCTCATTATTTTTTCACTCACTACCTACATTCATTGCATATATTATATAGCTGACGAATTTTTGTATGATAAGAAGCGAAACTAATATCCATTTGCAATATTTCATCAGTAGCGGAACAACGATTCCGCTATTTCGCTATGCTTTGCAATGTAGCGATAGCGCGCCATTGCCCATCTCTAGTTTTGCTCATTGTATTGTAATGTTCATTTAGAATTATCACGTTGTTGTGTTATAAACTATACCAGAAAGGAGTCGTTTTGATGTCTTATTTTGCCATTGCTTTTTGACGCATAGAGTATTTTCAGTGTTTGCAGTCAGTATCAGTTTTTTCTAATAATAATAATAATATTACAAAGTACAATTGCAGAACATTTTAGCACTAGCGCTGAGACATCAACCGTTTCGGCTCATTAGGGGCACAGCGACCGATTGGTTCAGAGTACCCATTGCGTGCTTCGGCGAAAGGAACAGAAGAGGCGGTTGTTTCAGGATGCCCAGTACCATTACAAGGTTTATGAAGACTGTAGCCTTTTGAACTAGCTTATTTCATTTTACAATGGAGTCAGCCACAGCGTAGCAAACTTTCACCGGAACATACACGGCCAAAACGTCTGCACCGAAGCATCCTATGCGGATAAACCATCACAGATTTGCAAAGAAATATGTCACAGGACACTCGCTGCACGAATCGTGTTTTTCATCATATCGAAAAGAATACCATGTCACACAGTAACAGTGAATCATATCGTTTCTGTACGGAAATCATTGAGAAGTGGAGTTGGGTCGGAGGTATCCGTGATTCAGAGTAAAGGTGGGACTGCGAATCTCGAGGGCCAGATGGTTGCCTCCATTAACCTCGCTAGTTGCATGCCTGACTTCTTCCACGACCCTACCAATGGGAGGAGGTGCCT